GACAGATGGCCCGGCAACCCTAGGGCGTTGTGGTGTGTGTGTGATGGGGCTTGTGAGCGTCAGGCATGGAGAGCGAGGACACTCTGGGGTGATGCCTGGGGGAGGACCAGCCCTGGAGGTGCTGTGGGGGCAGCGCGGGGGCCTGGGTATTATCAGGAGAGAGTGGCGCCAGAAGGGCCAGGTGAATCACTTGCTCTCGCCCCCACCCCTGTCCCACCACACCTGGCTTCTCTCTGTATGGGGTTCTGTCCACGCTATGCCTCTTCTTCTCCCCTTCATATTTCCCATAAAACAGGGAAAGATAGTAAAAAAATAAAATTAATAATAATAAAAATTAGGAGGATAATAAACTAACTTTTCTTTTTGAATTTATTTCATGATGTTACAACTCTTTGGAATCTTGAAACTAAAACAAAGTAAACTAAAGTAATAGGTCCACATTAGTACAGGAAAGAGAGGGAAGACTCAGAGAGTATACGAGGCTTTTTCCAGATTCGCTGCAAATTCATTAACTCAGGTCTGAAACGCCGAAAAGCTGAGGAGAGGAGGGCATGGCAGCGCCGGAAGGTGTAAAGAGAGGCTGCAGACCGGTGGCCCGCTGGCCAGATTCCACTGACATGTTTTGTTTGGCTCACACAATATTTGAAAAATATTCAAATCAATTTAAAATGTGGGAGTTTTCATAACAAAACCCGTGGTTTTTAAGCTTTTCTTGAGGGATGCGAGTGCCAGCTCAGGCTGGTGAATGGCCGACCCTGGGAACCGTGTGCCCACCAGCACGCCGCCCCTGGTCTGGAGCATTCCGGGCTCGCACTCAGAACAGTTACCAGCTGGGTGGCGCTGGGGTTGGCACTTCCAGGACTGTTCTCCGGCCCTGCCCCGGCAGCCTGTGTGTGTGAGTTCCCACTGAACCCGGAGCACAGTGGGCCCGGAAGCAGCAGGCTCGCAGTAGCACAGCAGCCCTTGTTCAGGTGGGCGTTAGGGGAGACAGGGACCATGCACGGACACGTAAGGGACTTCCCTGCTGCCTTCTAAGACAGTGTCATCCATTTCTTTCCTTTAAAAACATTTTAAAACGTGTTTTAGAAATCTGTTTTCTGAAATTATTAAGATTATTTTATGAGATCCATGCAGTCTATGCGGTACTTTACAGGGCGTATCTGGCCACAGCTGGGGTACTTCTGGGTGTTTTATGGCAAATTATTCTCGGATTACCCTCTAATGCAGGAAGGCCTGCCTGTTGTCTGAGCTCCCTGGGTTGTATAGAAAACGCTTGGACTTGATACAAAACAGCTGCCTCAGTCAGCTGTTCCAAAAAAGGAGCATTTTAAGGCTGAAGCAGCAGGAAAAAGGTTTTTGTAGCTGGTGGAGATTTTGAAAAATGTTAAATTACTCTTTCCTTGCCATTAAAGTGTGATTTAATTTTGTTACTAACAAATTGTGTAAATCTAAAAAGAAGAACTCCAAATGAGGGTTTGTTAAGGCTTTCTGGCAATACAATACAGTATGTCCTGGGGGGTGTTTTTCAGGGGGGGTGGCAGCTCAGAACCCCCACTGACCTCCCTATCCCTGGGCCTCAGCCCTGCTGGGCTGGGGTCAAGGGGCCAACCCCTGGCCCCCCTCCTCCCTCTCCTCTGGGCCCCTGCTGAGACCAGCAACAAAAGGGTCAATTGTCTGAGGCCTTCCTTTGTCTCTGGGGCTTTATGGGCCTCTCTGAATGCCAAAGTGGGCTATGAATGCCTATATTTATGTATATGTGCCAGTGCGCATATATGTGTACATGTGGGTATTGTGCACACATGTGCATGCATGCGTACATGCAACATGTGAAAAACGCACACATTAGTGCATGCGTATGCGCGCATGTGTATGCATACGAGTGGACAATGTATCTGCACACACATGAGCACACATGTGAGTATGGAAGTGTGCACACATGAATGCACTTGTATGTGTGCATATGTGCAAGCTGGGTATATATGTGCACACACATGCACACATGTACATGTGTGTACATGCAGGCAGTAGTGAGACTTGCTTAAAGCATTTCTGAGTTGCTGATGCTTCTTAGCAGGGCCTGACTGGCTGACGGATGTTCCTCAGGCACAGCTACTCACCTGGTATGTGCTGTGGTACAGAAACCTCAGAACCTTCCACATCCCCTGCCTCCTCTAGGGTTAGATAATGTACAGGAGTGAGGATCAGGCATGAGAGGCTCCTCACACAGCTTACTGGCCTCCCTTGCCTGTTCCAATCTGGGTTTCATGGCAAAGCTCACAAGGACTTTTCCAGAATGTTCCAGCACCTTCTCGGGGCTGCCTAATTGGATCCAGTGCATTCCGTGTGGAGTTTCAGCCATATTTGCAGAATGACTGTGAATGCCCTGTTCCCATCCACCCCATAAGCCGGTTTCCATGTGCCTCTGGTGCCTTTGCAAGGGCTCTGGTCACCTTGCTTCCTGGTGCGGCTTTACCAGGCCTGTGCTCACAGTCCTGCATGTGTCGTGGCTGGCCTGTGTGACAAGATTCATACTTCCTTCCTTCACAAAGTTGTCCTTTAAAAAATGACAGTAAAACACATTGGATCAGAAGCCAGGGAAAGACTAATAAAAATGCTGAATTAAAATTCACCTCTGAAGGGTTTATCTGTAAACTCTGTTTAGCCAGCACAGCTGCCATTTGACAACTTGTTCTTCGTTTTCCTGATTCTGTCCTTCCAGGGCCCATTTCCTCCCATGCTCCAGGAAGGGCTTATCTTTCAGCTGTGGAAAAGCCACCAATTAAACTGTCCTCCAAAGCTTATCAAAATATTCAGTCAATAAAATTATCTTATAATTAGCCAAACTATAAGCCAGAAATTCTTAATCCTAGGAAATGTAAAAATTACCCAGCACATGAGATCTATAAATTGCTCATCCTGACCTTTGGCTGAAGATTCTGTTTTTATTTCATTTCCAAAATAGTTTTTTCCTTGTTCTTTAAGTTTTTGATTGTCCCCAAGGCAACTTCCTCTGCTGTTGGCTCAAGTCGCAGAGAAAATATCCTGGCTTAGTTGCGATACATCATTCTGTGCATCCAGGCGAGTGTGATACGATATCAACTTGATATTGTATAATTCATGCTTCCCTTTGAGATATATGTTTTGTTAACCTGTGCCTATCCTCCCAGACTACTGATGGCTCATTGTTGTTGATTCTGTACTTGGGGTGTATGTAGGGATGACAGCAACCAGATTCTTCTGGAGCTGAGCAGTTCACACAGGGGCTGGGGGATTCTGCGTATGCCACGCTGAACAGAGGCATTGGGCTTTCTCATCTCAGTGATGATTTTACTTCTAACTGTCTCTTCTGTACCCCTTCCACCTCCCATTGTCTAGGGACCCTCCCGTCATCTTGTAGGACGCAGGATGGCGCCACAGAAGTCACCCCACTTCTATGGCGGTAACATGAAGGAAATCAGCAATAATGTGTTTGGAGATGTGAACGCGTAACTCAGATAGACTTTTTGCATGGAAGTGGTGTTATCAGTGATGCTTAGGATTTTGATGGACTGCTGTGAGTTCCTTAAACCAGTGATGTCATCGTTCAACCACGAGTGGGTTAATGAGACTCATGCAGTTGTTATTGTGGCTGATGAGTATTTTTTACATGATGGAATACTTTCAAAGTTCCAAAAACTAACTTGAAAATTAAATTTTGGAATGTGACATTTTAATAAATGGGGTATTGCCTTATATAGAGAGGTAGTTATTATTAATAATTTTCCTATTAGGCAGTTTGCACACATGCACACACACAGAGATATAAACACAAATATAGAAAAATTGCTCAATCTTTACATTCATCCTGAGAGAAAATAATAATTTTGCCCATTTTACAGTTGAGAACACTGAGGCTCTGAGAGCTTAAATAACTTGCTGACATGCAGTTAGCAGTTGAAATGGTTGGCCTAACACTTCCGTGACCCACTACTGGTGGTATGTGAACGAGCTGGGCCCAGGCCTTGTGACTGGACCCTAGTTATGCCTGAGAAGTCTCCACGACGCCTGCGGAGTAGGGGGGAGTCACAGGGTCACCTCAGTTCCCACTTGTGCTGTGGCCCGCAATCATGCACACTTTCTCTTGGTGTCACATGTGGATTGCTGGCTCGCTGCCTTGCTGTCTTCAGAGCTGTGGCCTGTTGGAGTCAGGCTTATTGGGTTGGTGTGACCCCTCAGAAGGGCTCTGGCCAGGGGGACAGAGGATGGTAGTACGCTCCTAATAGAAACCTCAGAAGGAGTGTACGTGGCAGTCCCATCCTGCTGTGCTTTGTCTCGAGAGTGGAGAGAACCCTGCTTTGCCTATAGAAATGGAGAGTACTGTGGTGGTCGCTCTGGGCTAGCATAGGGAAATGGGGGAATGTTGGTCAAAGGTACAAACTTCCAGTTTTAAAATGAGTAGGTTCCAGGGATCTAATGTAAAGTGTGGTGACTGTAGTTAACAAACTGTATTATATACTTGAAAGTTGCTGAGAACAGATTGTAAGTGTCCTCACCCATTAGAGATAATTATGTGGGGTGATGGAGGTGTTAATGAACATGGTAATGTGTGGTAATTATTTCACAGTGTACGCACATATCAAATCACCAAGATATACACTTTACATATGTACAATTTTATTTGTCAATTATACCTCAATAAAATTTTCAAAAACATATTTAAAAAAAAACAAAATAAGTGGAGAAAAAGAGCCCTGTTTTGAAAGTCTTTCCAGAGGAGAGACACCTTCTGTTTCATCCACAACAAAATATTGTAAACCTCTTTAAGGTCTTTTCAAAATGTGATTATCCTCTAAAAGCTAAGTTTAAACTAAACATCTATTATTAAAATGTGTTATTTATGAAGTATCAACAATGGGGCATAATAGCAAGTGTTTAAAAATCATTGACCACATTAAGTTAATTTTCTGTAAATTCAGCGTATTCTTGATATTATTTAGTACGTATTTCTCTCTTAATTTCAGCTTGGGTTGACGATAGCCATTCACTACAGCCACAGGTAAAGTTCATATTTTTTAAGGGAATATACCTACCGGTTTATACCACCAGTTGGCTTGAGTCTGCGGGGTTCTGAGCTTCTGCACGGACAGTCGCTCTGTCCGTGATGCCAGTGTCACAGCAATCAGTCGATTGGCAAGAGTTAGTCACGATTTGGAGGAAGAAGCTTTTTACATAAAGTAGTTGGTAGTAGCATGTTGTTTTTTTAAAAAATTTTAAGAAACTTTTATTGATTTTTAGAGCGAGAGGAAGGTGATGGGAGGGAGGGAGAGAGAGGGAGAGAGAAGGATACACACACACACACACACACACACACATATCAAATCATTTATTTTCCTTTTCCTTTGGTGGAACTTCCCTCATAAATGCGTCCTGAACAGCAGGGAAAGCAGCCACCTGTTTCTGCAGCAGAGCTACAGGTGCCTCTTCCTAGGAAAGCTCAGATCTTGCTCTTGTTTGGGGAACAAAATGTGCTCTTCCCCGTGGGGGTGAGGATTACTTTGCGGTGGCTCTCAGGAGAGTTCTGGCTTGTGCAGGCATTCAGTCTGTGTGGAGCTTGAGGAGAAAGCTTTCTTTTTAATGCTTTGTCACACCAAGGACTTTTGTTTAACCATCAACATTTTTGCATCAGGGATCAGATAAGAGAGTGGAGTAGGCTGGACAGCGCCTGTGTCCCTATGCTCCTCCGCGGCCCAGGCCTGTGTTTGTGAGCAGATCCCTGCTCTGCACTCTCGGCCTGGTAGGTGCCTGGTGCCATTCTTTATTGTCTCCAACACTCCACTGGGTTGGTGGAGAGTCTTCCCCAGGCTGAGCGCTTTCTTCCCTTGGGAAGGAAGAATTGTCTTTTTATCACTGTCTGGGCAGCAATTTGGATATGTCTCCCCATGGGTGGGGGCAGGAGGTATGCTCTGGAAGGGGGCTCTTGGCCTGAGTTGTAAATGACTTTGCCTCTGGTCCCCTTCCCCAGAGCAGCCTAGCCGTGCTGAAGAAACGTGGTTATGAATCCAAGCAGAAAGGTGGGCTTAAAGCCACAGCCCTGCAGGAGCTAAGGACAGGAGAGCCTTTGTGGTGAAGGGACAGACGGGTGCCGATTTTAGACGGGGCAGAGCTTTGTTCGTTCTGTGCCCACATTAATGGAATCTGCCCCCATTTCTATGGCTGTCTGGTGTCCCTGAGCTACTGTTTATCATGCCCAAGCATTCTGTGGGTCAGAGGCGACAAAGTTCATCACCACCAATCTAATGCCAACAGGAGTCCCCAGTCTGGTGTATAGTAAACGGAGAGACTTTATTCAGGTGAACACTGCAAACCAGAAAAATGCAGCCTCCAGAGGAAACTGAAAGTGTGCTCCCCTTGGGGGGGTGGGCGGTGGAAGCTGCTTATATAGAGAATGTGCTCACTTTTATCAGTCCATTTTTATGCAAGTGAAGGATCCAAATGTATACAGTTTGATTGGTTCACATAGCACTGTCTTGATTGATTGGAATCAGACGTCTTGAATGGTTGTGAAACTGATCTGACTGGCCAGTAAAAATGCAATTTAGAATTTAGCTGTGCAGCTCCAACTGGTCAGATGAAGCAGGTCTCAGCCCATTGGACAAAAAGTGATTCCAGGATGTCCCTTATAAGGTTGACCTAGATGGCAGGAGCACAGTGCAGGAGGCTGGCAGTCCCGTCTGTGGCTTTTCTCCTAAAAGCAATGTGGTTGAGAGACTTCTGTCAGAAATGGCTGCTAGATTCTGGTTATGAATTTGAGCCCAGTTACCCACAAGGAGTCCTTCTTAGCATGTATATTCCTTTCTGGTGTTAACAAGGATTTAGAAAGGGCAGTCAAGATGGCTTGTATCTACATCCACTAGGATGAATATGATAAAACAGCCAGAAAATGTCAAATGTTGGAGAGAATGTAGAGAGATTGGAATCTTCATACACTGCTGGTAGGAATGTCAAATGGTGCAGCCTCTTTGAAAACAGTCTCGTGGTTCCTCAAATGACTAAACACTGAGTTACCATATAACACACAATTTCACTCCTAAGTATATAAACAAGAGAAATGAAAACATATGTCCATGCAAAACTGGTACGTGAATGTTCCTAGCAGCATTATTCATAGTAGCCAAAAAGTGGAAACAGCCCAGGTGGTCATTAGTAGGCGAGAAGATGCATGGAGAGTGGTATATCCACACAATGAAATATTGTTCAGCCATGGAGAAGATTGGAGTGCTGGTGCATGTTGCAACATGGAAGGACCTTGGGGACATGCTGGGTGAGGGAGGTTGGTCACAGGTGTCCACGTATTGTATGATTCTGTTTGTGTGTGTGAAGAGTCCAGAGTGGGAAGGTCCATGGAGACAGAGAGTGGATTGGTGGTCGCCAGGGCCTGGGTGGAAAAGGGAAATGAGGAGTGGCTGCTGATGGGTGCAGGGTTTCTACTGGGGGAGGTGGAATGTCCTGGAATCAGACGGTAGTGATAGCTGAACAGCTCTGCTAATGTTTTAAAGACCACTGAACTGTATACCTTGAAAGTGAATTTTATGGTATGTGAGCAATATCTCCGTAAAGCTAGTATCTTAAAAATGAAAAAAAAAATGGCTTGTGTCTGCTCCACAGAGTGTGGGGACTGTGGTGAAAGACTCAAGGCTGGGGGCAAGGTCATCTGAAGGCCCATTCACCTGTGTGTCTGGTGGGGGATTCTGGCTTATGGCGGGGGTAAGGGGGAAGTGGTCTCTGTTCCTCTCCCCATGGGCTAGTTTAGGCTTCCTCACAGCCAGGTGGTTGGCTTTCTTTGAGTAAGTGTCTCAGAAAAAGAGAGGCAGCTGGAAGCTATCTCCTTTCTGTGATCAGCCTGGGAAGTCCCTGTAGCATTCTTTCTGCCTACTCTATTGCTTGGCGCAGTTGCAGAGCCCATTTGCATTCAGAGGGAAGGAACAGGGACCCCTCCTCTCAGTAGAAGGAGTCTTGGTCACATTGTAATAAGAGCTCGAGAGGTGGGAGGTCTGCATGTGGCCATTTTGGGAAAACACAATCTGTTGCAGAACCCAACTGCATCTTGGAATATTTAGTTGGAGCGCTTGTGAAAAGAAATTGAAGACTCTCTGTCTTCTTCAAGGCATGTAGGCATTGAGATACACAGAAAGAACGTGTTGGGAAGACTTCAGGACAGACGCAGCCTTGCAGGAAGAGGCACACCAATCAGAGGAGGCTTCTCAGAGGAAGCGAATCTTTAATCACCCGTGTTCCACTAGAGTGTGGGAGTGGGAAGCAGACCCAGAGGCTCAGGCAGATGCCCTGGCAGGCTGATCCTATAGGTCCTTGAGAATTCAGAGTCTTTAAACTACTGTTTGACATCAATTTGGAGAAGAGGCAGAATGTGGAGAGGGTGTGGAAGGATGGAATTGATCTAAGCTGCCTCAGTCTATACTCTTAGTAGTTCAGTCTCAACCACAAACATCATTCCGGCCTTGGAACAGAAACCCTGCACAGAACTGGGTGGATTCAAGGGGGAAGTTCAGCAGCTATCTGTGGTATGTGAGCAAGTCTCTTCAGGGTGCAGGCCTCCCCACCCAGGTGGCACAGCAGTGTCTTCTGGCCAGGCCACCCATGCTGTCACAGGAGATGTTCTGGCAGATGGGCCACCCTGTGCTGTGTTTGCAGAGATGTTTGCTGTCCTGTCCCCTGTCCTGGCTCTGGGTTGTTACGGAGAGAGCAAAGGAGTCATGGATATTTATATAATGCAGCAAAAAAACAAACAAAAATCTAAATAAGTCAGAAAAGAAAGTAATGAGATTAAAGAGGAGGAAAGTGAGGGGACATCTACTGAGATTCCCTGCAAGCTCCGAGCTCCTTCACTACCTGCTTCAGGAACTGGGGACTCTGAGTGATTGGCAGCACAGAGAAGCCAATCTTCACAAAAGGCTATCTCTGCATCTGTGTGTTCCTTGCATAGGAGTCAGAAGACTTGAGGAGCAGAAAGGACGATTAGGAAGTGGTTGCTGCAACTCACAGATGGAGGGCAGGCCTTTTGGCTTGGCTGGGCCTCTGACAAAGTGTCAATGTCCAATTCACACATCAGATATACACGAGCCAAGGTGGGCGTGTTCCCAAGGGTCATTTGACCTATCCCTGTATCAGCAGCATCTTGAAATAACGCAGGTATTATTACAGGTTATGCTTTCCAAAAATTACTTCTAAAATACAAGGAATTCTGAACTAAAGTTCCAGGAAGCACAGCAGCATCTGTAAATTGTGTCTGTGTGTGTGTGTGTGTGGGGGGGGTTAAGAAACCGTCTTCTGGAAAACCCCTAGTCTACAGAAATTGATGACAGTTACTAATGTGTCACTGAGAGCCATTTGCAGGTCAGGCCCCACCGCCTGCCCCTCACCCTGCAGTCTTATCCTGTCGCTGGATTCTGCGGGCACAGGAGGAACCTGCCTTTCCTCTCAGAAGGCTGCAGGGCTCTGCGTTGCCTAGCGGTCGATCTTGTGCCTCTCCTGCTGTCTGGCCCTGTCACTGACCTCTGCCCTCAGAGAGGAGGAGGGTTTCTGGTTATGTCCTGTCTTTAAAAAATCCTACTAGCTTATTTAGCTTAATTGAAACCATCATCCTTTTGTTGATTATGTTTTTCTTTTTTCTGTAAAATATACCTGATATAAAAAGTTAAATAGTGTATAGTTACTTCATTGGTGTTAAGTACTGTTGTCCCTCAGCATCCATGGGGATTGGTTCCAGGACCCCTCACCTCCTACCATGATACCAAGATCTGTGGATGCTCAAGTACCTTACATAAAATGGAATGAATATAAAATTACACATAACCAGTTTTTGCACATAAGTGACAGCAGGTTGTACCTGCATATCACTTCATGTATGTAGATTAAGCACAGTGCTCGGCACATGGAAAATTCAAGCTTTGCTATTTGGAACTTTCTGGGATTTTTTTATTTCTGAATCTTTTTGACCCATGGTTGGTTGATTCCATGGATGCGAAACCCACAGATACG